AGAATAGAATAGAATAGAATAGAATAGAATAGAATAGAATAGAATAGCTTTATTGGCCAAGTGTGATTGGACACACAAGGAATTTGTCTTTGGTGCAAATGCTCTCAGTGTCCATAAAAGAAAAGATACATTCATCAAGAGTCAAGAATCATCAGGTACAACACTTAAGAATAGTCATAGGGTACAATAAGCGATCAAATCATACCAGGAAATAGTCAAGATAAATTGTAAGGATGCAAGCGACAAGGTTATAGTCATACAGTCACAAGTGGGAGGGGATGAGTGATAAGGAGTGATGAGAAGATTAACAGTAATAGTAATGCAGACTTTGTAAATAGTTGGACAGTGTTGAGGGAATTATTTGTTTAGCAGAGGGATGGCTTTCGGGGAAACAAGTGTGGTGCTCTGATTAAACTTTGCCTTCTGCAGGGGACAAACCAAGTCTGTATTTGACCCAGTTTATACAGGTGGTCCTTGTATTTATGATGGTTGCCATTATTTCTGTGATACAGGTAGTCTTCAACTTACAACACTGACCGTTCAAAGATACAATGGCACTGAAAAAAGTGACTCATGACCATTTTTTCAGACTTATGACCGTTGTATCATGCCCAAGCAACTTTTGGATGCTTAGTCAAGAGCAATATTTCTTAACCTGGGCAACTTTTAAGGCTTCAGCTCCCACAATTCCCTAGCTAGCATGCTGGTTAGGGAATTCTGGAAGTTGAAGTCCACCCATCTTAAAATTGCCAAGGTTGAGAAACGCAGCTGAAACCCAAGCTCCTTTGCACAACCTGAGCTCATATTCTGGTGATTTTCTGGGGAAATCCATACAAGGCAGTCCTCACTTCATAATCACTCATTCAATGACCATTTACAATAGCGCTGAATGAGTGGTACTTACAACCAGTCCTCACAATTTCAGCCAAAGCAGCTTTCCTGTAATCGCATCATCTAAATTTGGACACTCAGTGACTTGGCCCATATTTCCAACTGTCATAGCATCCCATAGTCATGTGATCAGCATTGGAAACCTCTCCCTTCCTCCTTCCCTCTCTTTTACCCTCTCTGCCCCTCCCTCTTTCTCTCCCTTCCTCCTTCTCTTTCTCTCTTCCCTTCCTCCTTCCCTCTTTCACTCTCTCCCCCCTTCCTTCCTCTCTCTCTCCCTTCCTCCTTCTCTCTCTCTCCCTTCCTCCTCCTCTCTCTCTCCCCTTTCCTCCTTCCCTCTCTCTTTCTCTCTCTCCCC